TGAACCTCGACAGGGCGGCTATCCAGCCAGTCAGCTTTTGTACCTATTTTTTGCTGGTTAATATTTTGGGTATTCCTTCGATGGCCTTGATCTGGTCTGGATTGACCTCGATGCCTCTTTGTGATACCAAGAAACCGAGGAATTTTCCTGAGGTTACGCCGAAGGCGCATTTTTCGGGATTTAGGTTCATTCCATATCGTCTTAATATGTCGAAGGCTTTTGTAAGGTGGTCGATGTGGTCCTCTTTCCTTTTGGATTTGACCAACATGTCGTCGCTGTAAACTTCTATCGTTTTGGCGAGTTGATCTTTAAACATATTGGTGACCAACCTTTGATATGTGGCCCCTGCATTCTTCAGCCCGAATGCCATGACTTTGTAACAATACGTTCCCTGATGGGTGATGAAAGTAGTTTTCTCCTGGTCCTCCTCCTCCATGAGGATTTGGTTGTAACCCGAGTAGGCATCCAAAAAGCTTAGCAGTTCGTGCCATGCTGTTGCATCCATGAGTTGGTCGATATGAGGCAGGGGAAATGAGTCTTTCGGGCATGCCTTGTTCAAATCTGTGAAATATACCCACATCCACCATTTCCCATTTTTCTTCTTTACCATGACCACATTTGCGACCCATTGGGGATATTTTGATTCTCGGATAGAACCGTTGGCGAGCAGCTTATCAACTTCCACGCTGGCAGCCTTGTTGATTGCGACATTGAACTTTTTCCTTATTTGCCGCACCTTTGGATAGATCGGGTCGACATTCAACTTATGCGTGGCGATGTCTTTCGGAATGCCTGGCATATCTGAATGGGAGAAAGCAAACAGGTCAGCATTGTTAGTTAGGAATTATGGAATATACCTAGTTCCGAGAGATTATGCCTGGTATAAGCCTTCTTTGTGCTGTCGCTGTTGCTTATTTGGACGGGATCGAGATCTTCTATCGTCGACTCAGCGGCTTCCACGATGTCGGGATATTTGATAACATCCGTCTGTACATCGGATTTGATTCTCAACATCGCTAATTGCTATGCTTCCGCGTTGGCTCCCTTTAATTGTCGGGTGTGTGTGCAATCCTGGGCGATACGATAGTATTCTTGAGCAGTGCGTTGTTCGCCTCGGAGGCTGAATATTCCCCATGGGGTAGGGAACTTGATCACTTGATAGAGGCTTGACGGGATGGCCCTCATGGCGTGTATCCACGGTCGTCCTATGATGGCGTTGTAAGTTGTATCCTGGTCCATGATATGAAAAGTTGTTTCCAAGGTGACTCCCTCGGCTAAAACGGGTAGCACTATTTCTCCAAAAGTTCGCTCGACTGCATTATTAAAACCCGTTAGTGTTATACAACGCGGTATTATCTTATCCTCGAGGCTCATCTGTACGAGGACCCGGGGATGGATAATACACGTGCCGCTTCCGTTATCCACCATTATTCTTTGTACATCAGTATCCGAAATACGTAGAGTAATAACAAGAGCATTGTAATGAGGGGAAAGTCAAATCGTCGGTATCTGACTTGTCGAAGGTGATACTATCTTCGAGGTCATCGTACCGTTCATGAGTGATCGACCGCTTGAGTTTGTGTGTAGTGGTGAATTTCACATGGTTGATTGTTGCCTCGTCGCCTCCACCGATGATCATTTGGATAGGGCGAGCGGGAGAGGGGGGCTTTGGAGGTCCCTGGGGTTGTTTGCGTCCACGGGCAAAGTTGGCTCGCCCTCGGTCGCTCATTAGCTCTTTCAGGTGTCCCTAGTTCAGCATTCTCACCACCTCCTGCCGCAGACCTATGCAGTCTTCGGTCTTATGACCCCGCTCCTGGTGAAATTCACAGAGAGCGTTCAATTTCCGAGTGTTTGGATCGGATTTCATCTTTTAACGGCCATTGTACCTTCGTGCCGAGCTTCTCCAGTGCGTACACTATTTCTGAAGGGGAAACACAAAAATTGTGAGCAGATAAGAGTGGAGGCATACCTCTTTCGTTACGTTGAGTCCCTGTGTGACGGGTCGAGCCATCCATGTGACGAGGCGGTGGTGGAGCGGCTGTTCTGACGTAAGGCTGATGTCTTTCTCGGCCGAAATGGGGACCCAATTGATCCCTTCAACCGTCATTACGACGATCTTTCCTTGATTCTGCTTGAACTGACGTCAGCCGTTGGATCGGACCGTTGAGGTCGTCCTCATCGGCTCTTACCTCGGCACAATAGGCATTGTGAATTTCTTCCCAGGTGGTAGGAAGATATGAGTCTGCTCAGTAGTTTTATGGTTGCTCTCGACTCGTTCCTGCTCAACCCGTTCTGGAAGGCCGTTACCGCCATCCCCTTTGATACATTTGGTAGGCTCATTCTCACCATGTTAAACCGGGCGAGGAAGTCTCTGAGTCCCTCGTCGGGCGATTGCCTAACGGTGAATATCGTTCACCCTGGCTTCCGCCTTTTTAGCCCCTGCGTGAGCGGTGATAAACTTGTCCGCCATTTCCTCGAACGTTACTATCGACCGCGTCGGCAGTTGTGAGTACCAGGTTAGGGCTCCCCCTGCTAGGGTTTCGCCGAATTTTTTCAGTAGTACTGACGGTACTTGCTCCTTCGGAAGGTCATTGCCCTAGACTGCTGTGGCATAGTGAACGATGTGATCCTCTGGGTCCGTAGTGCCATCGTATATCTTCAGATACGGTGGCATTTTGAAGGTTTTTGGAATGGCATGGAGGGCTGCTCCTTCGCTATACGGCTGTTCAACGATTCTACCAGCGTCTCGTTTCGGTAATAACTTTAGGACGCCTGGTATTTTATCGACCCTTTCTTGATGCTCCTTCATCTGATCACGGAGCGCCTTGTTTTCGTTTTCCATTTCTTCCATTTTCTTCAGAATGGCTGTGAGTGTGTCATTACCTGCATCATCAGTGGCGTGAGTGTTACCTGTTTAGGGGGCCTCTTGTTCGCCAATGGTGGTTATGATATCTACGTGTGTGGTATCTCTGTTCTCCCTTTGGACGGGTTTATCGAGTATGTTGTTCAGAGTGTTTGTTAGCCACTCTTCCAGTAGTCTTTTTATTGCTGGTGGTGCTTCCTCTGTTGTTGACGTGGAGGCTCCCTTTTCGTGTGAAGCAGTTATGCTTTCGTGGGGGGAGGCGAAGCATTCCGCCTGGGTGTGGCATTCAGTATCGCGTTTTCATCGTTTTCTCTGCCATCTTTGTTGATGGTGTTCAAGATGTTGGTAGTGAGACCTGCTATCGTTTTCGACCTCGCATCTTCTTTTCCTGCCATTGTTAGTGGTGCAAACGAGGAAGAGATGCGCTTTTTTCTTTATGATCCAGAAAGAACTATAGCTTGAACTAGAAACCTCCCCACAGACGGCGCCAAATTGTTTGAGCAAAAACAATCGATAACAACTTAGTGGGGTGAATCTTAGTTGAGCTTAATAAATCCTAGAATAAATAAACGAAAGTCTAGTACAGCGAGAAGAATTTAATAAGGCCAACCAGTGAACTTAATGGCAGTGTATATAATATCATGAATGTGCAATAAATACAAGAAACAACAATGGTTATAATGAGAAGGAATTGCCACCCAATGATTATGTGATTGAGTGATTCTTCCTTTTGTCGACACAAAAAGGGTCTGCAGTTGATATGAATGTGAAATCTAAAGATTTATGGATGAAGGTTAAACAACATGTGCTTAGATAAAGTGAATAAGACAATTCTTTCGTATATTCCCTCTCTTCTCTTACACTGTGTTCTTCGAAAAAGGCAGATCCCTTTTTTGTTTACTATCTCCTCCTATTTATAAGGGACCTTTCCCAAAAAATCCTAAAAAGTACAACATAAAGAATATCCAAAAGGCATATTCTTCCTGTCCTTTTCTAAGTTTAAACTACCAATACTATCTTATTTCAGCTGCCCGCCTCTGGTCGTCGTCCTTTGCCACAACGACCATAAGTCGTTGTGTTGTAATGACTCCGTCCCATGTCTTGCTAATCCGTTGCCGTGGTTGCCAAATTTGGACCAATACACTTAGGCCCCCAAATACTTAGGGCCCCAAAATCTATAAATAATATATATAATATTTAATAATTATGCATTATTGATAGAATTTATAAATCATAAAATAGTTATAGCTAAAAGTTTTGCACATCTTAAATTGTAGTTACTAGTTGTTTCCTGTCTTTAATTCATCCCAACTTAAATTGATTGTCTTACCATGTTAGTTTAAAATAATTTTTCTTAATTCTTTGAGTGCCTTTGTAGATATTTTTCAAGCTACTTTGATAAGTAACTATTAAAATTCGTCCTTAACATTGAGTGACTCTTGAAACATAGTAATTACTACAGTATCATTTGTTTCAGCTGATATTTAGAATTAAAAGTACTAAGAAAAATTATATAAGTAGAAGAATACTCTAATAGGCAAACTCAATCAGGTAAAAAGTGTTAATTCAATTACCGTTAACAATTTTTATATCAATTGCCTCGATTGAAAAAAAATTTCAAAACTATATCAATAAATTTCAACATGATTACACAAGAGAGATTGAACAAATTGGTTAGACATTAGCAATAATTAAAATTGATTATAACCTTTTTAGATTTCGATAAATTATAAGAGTAAAAAAAAAATAATTAAAAAAATTTAAGTCCTCACTTTTTATTTTTCGCCTTGAGCCCCATATTATGTTGATCCAACCCTGGGTACATCCCACGTTAGAATGACAATCAACAAATCTGATAGTAGCAAATCCTTCAATAATAACCAATAATAGAAAAATCAGATTTCATCGTCAATCCTAGGATGTTAGAGTTGGTCTGTCCCAAGTAGGATTACCTTCTAGATGAGGTTTGGCTATGGCGGCAGTCTACTCGTTTGTTTGTTTTCTCATTACTCTTTTTCCTTGTCATTTTCAATTGGGATGAGGCTGTTTTTCCTTCAACATTGTTGCGATTATCATATTAGCTTCTAACTGCAGATATAAACTTTTTTTCCATCTCAATTATCACCACACAAGAAAATAGAAATTAAAACCAACGGCAATATAAGGTGACCAACCAAGCCTAGTTACAAAAAAATGATGTACATGAAAGAGAATTGAGAGAAAAATGTTAGAAGAAAATTAATAAATACATTCAGCACAAAAACTAGGAGAAACTAAACCTATCCAAATAATGAACAAATCATTGGATTATGGGGACTAATTTAAGAACTAATCATCTGACAGGAACTGGTTGTGATTGAATGCCACAATGCAACAGACGATAACCGATTTGTTGAGTCATTGTTAGCCCATTGATTGAATTTCAGATAACCTCATCTACGCTTAAACTTTGACTTTCTCCTTTGTTCATACCATTGCTTACGTCTCTGCCTTAGTTTTAAATGGATCTGGCCAGTTCTTGTCCTCCTTCACAGCTCGTGCCCACCGGTCCTTGAATATTTGCAGTTCATACGTTGATTGTCTCCGAATCTGTAAAATAAGGGATGATAGCGGAAAATAAGCTTAGATGGAAGGCAGATTGTAATGCAGACAACACGAGCAATGGATGTTATACCATGCAAAAGCTTAGAATTGTCATCTTAAAACATGCAAAGCTTTGAAATGTCATCAAATACAGAAGAGATAACTGAAGGGACAAAAATACGAAATTGTACAAAGCAAGACTCTCACCTCAGATCTCACGTCAACAACGTGTCTCTGTAGGTCAGAGGAAAAGAGAATGAAATTCAAGGACAAGAATTAGCAAAAACATCAGCAGCAGATATATATGTATATTGAGAAAATCAAACTGCCGAAGCACATAGTAGAATGGCATATACCTTCACAGACTCTTCAGGGTTTGAATCCTGCACAAAAGACAAAAGTATGGTTAACGGAGGTAGATTGAAGCAAACAACACGATTATACCGTAGCCTCTATCTGTAGTAGACTGTAAGTACAACTTATCTGATATACTTGAGATGATTAATGAGGAGATCCACAAAAATGAGCCTTTAGCCTTCAAATGGATAAGGAAAATTACCTTTTTCAAAGATTGGCCACCCAAAGTTTGAATGCTCTGGTGAACTACATATTCACTATCAACTACTCCCACCTTTTTGGATCGATCTCCCTACAATATTTAAATTAAAGAAGATTTAGGGCTGTTAATGAGCTCATCATTTTAAGAGAAATAATGATGAAACTATTAATAAAGTCCTACTATATAACCTCAGCACAAGTAAGACCCTAGTAGCTTATTGTTAAACTGCAATAATAATGCACTAACCCACACCCATGGCGCTTGAAGGTGATGAACATTAGCAACATCAACATATCAAGTATCCAATCAATCGTTGCCCTAATGGCATCTAAGTCTAGAGGAAGTGGCTACGATGAAGAGTCTAGCTATGTTAAGCAGTCGGGCTGTTTAGCTTTACGAAAATTTACACCCCGTAAAAGGAAATTACCAGGACATCTAGTCCCAGCTATTCATCTCAGAAAGCCAGCAAAGGCTAGCAATTGGTGTTTCCACACTGAAAGAGCTAACATTACAAGCTAATAAAAACATCGAAATTTTTTTTTTTTTTTATTTGATGAAGTAATGAGTTTTTATAGAAAAGGGCATCAAGAAGATGCAAGAAGTACAAGAAAGACGGAAAGAGTCAGCTTTGATACAAAAAAGAAAAAGAAATACTAGGCTAAAGCAAAAGAGCTGACAAAATCCAAAAAGTTAATATGACAATCTACATAAACATCGAAAAATGTTTTGTAACACCTCAAAAAGGCAACAACAACAACCCAGTAAAATCCCACAAGTAGGGTCTGGAAGGGTAGAATGTACGCAAACCTTACCCCTACCCGGAAGGGATAGGGAGGTTGTTTTCGAGAGAGCCTTAGCTCATAACACCTTAAAAGGCAACTACCAAATTTAACGAAGAGCTAAACTGATGATGTTTTTATGAGGAATTTGATGGATTAGGAATGATTCAAAAAAAATTAAACTTGAAACAGGTCATAAAGTGATGATGTTTTTGTGAGCCAGGAGTTCGATGAATTTGGAATGATTCAAGAACATTAAACTTGAAACTGCAGTTTTAGAGAGGAAAGAGAAATGTATAGCAATTTAAATTTCAGAACTCCTATTGTACACTCTAAAGCAGACATTCATGAAAACTAGTCTACCATCAGCGGAAACAAACATAAAAGCATTCACAGGGACGGATGAGAGGTCCATATTGTAAATTAACAAGTCGAAAAGAAGTAAACCAAAATTTAGCAGCCACAAAAAAGTTAACTCACCTGTGCACAATAACCAAGTTTCATGTCCATTCCCCACCCATGAACGAGATCATTCTGACAGGAAAGAGCAACGATTAGAAGCTTAATTAAACAGGAAGAATCAGTACGAGACCGGAAAATGAAACTAGTTAGGAGTGTGAACAAGCAGATAGTGCGTCCTGGTGACATGCCAAAAGTGCAAGTGAAAAGTAATCCAAGTACCAAGTTGAGCTTTGCTAATTTAAGTTAAAGCACATTAACAGTATACGAGCATTTCAACCCAAAATGAAAATAAACATTATCATAAGATGAGAAAATACAACAATTTAAAGAAACAGTTTAAGTTGCAATACAAACAAGACATAGTCATCATCTCTACGAGAACACTTCTCCCCACCCCAATAAGTAAAATGTAACATAGAACACAGGCACACACAGTTGAATTCTGATCTTTAGTCGCCAGAATTCTTAGAAGGGACCATTCATCGGGATGATCAAATAAACCGAGTAACAAAAACTCAAGCACTCAATCCAAACACTTAGAGAATACTCTGCCTGCCTCTTTCAAATCTATAAATCCAAATATCAAAATCCACCACTCTTCTCAAATTTACAGTCCTATACCTGATTATGTTATAATTAAGTGTATATGTTGCTTTAATAACGGTCTAAAAGTGGTCTGGCCTCAGCTCAGAGAGAAACCAAGTTCTACCTGTATCAGATGCCAAGCACAAAGCCACGCAGATCTTGAAAAGACCGGAGCCATTCCCTCCACAAATCTGTAAAAGACAGTGAATAAACCCATTCTGTTAATGACATAGAACAGAAAATTTCTGGAAGAACTCTCATCTAGTGAAGGCACTAGAGAAGTTAAATATTCTCAAACTCTTTTTTGTAGAACAAAATTGTAGGAATAGAGAGTATATAACAAAGGGTCAACTTGCAACCACGGGTCAACTTGATCATCAAGAACTGAATGCAAAAGCTTATCCTAACCAACCAATGCCCAAAGGCTAATAACAGTCTGATCAATTAATTGCATTATGCTTACCCGCTGCATGGGGGCCCTTCGCTTTCGTCTGAACACTTTGTACTACCTCTAATATCATAGACCCTTCTGCAAAAGGATTTGTGCATCAGTATTCTTCCAAAAGAGGCGGACTAAAAGGTTGAATTTGCCCGGTTGGATCACCAGAAAGACGTACCTGTGGAACCTGTTTGTTCTGCTTCGTATGGTGATTCTATGGTGTATACCAGTAGAATTCGGGTCTAAAGCAGGCTGAGAAATTTCCAGTCCTTCAGATTTCACAATTTCAAGGTACCTAAATAACAAAAGGATGCAATTGAAAGAAACTTATAATTAGCGAAGAGACGTATAAGAATCGGTGTTATTACGATAAATAACAAACATCCTTCTAGGAAAGCTCCCTAAAAAAGGAAGCATGGTTAAAGAGTACGCAATAGAAAACACCCATTGACTTGATAATGTAAATGCAACAAACTGTAGATACTCCTTATCAAAACAAACTGTAGATACTAAATGAAGCAACTGCAAATAGTTCATCTCCTAAAAGCTTGGAATGACAGGGAAACATGTCACAACTTTTGACGCCAAATGCTTGAAATAAAAGAGAACAGAAAAACATTCAGGATTATAGAAACAAAATCACTACTGATTTATGTTTAAAATGACTGCTTATTTCTTTAAAAAAGGTGTTCATAAAATCATTATTCACAATAATCCACCAGGAGTAAATGACTTGCATCAAGTGCATATATTGACTCAAATGATTACATCTGCTTATTTCTATAAAATAAGTTCATAGAATCATTATTCACAATACTCACCAGGAGTGAGTGACTTGTATCAAATATATCTATTGGTAGATTAAAAAAATTAAGATAAACAAAAGGCCAACAGAAAACTTGTTTAATCATTCTACCTTCCAGGATGGAAATTCTCCACACCCAAATCTTCATCCCAAAGGAAAATGTAATCGTAGATTGAAACAACTGCAGGATGTAAAAATCTCTTTGCAAACCACCTGCATCAAAAATTAATGCACAACAATGCTGAGATATTATTTAGCATAAACCATACAAGCTACATGCAGAGCTCCTCAGTAAGAAAACTTTGCATAAAAAAGGAGGCCATATTAGGTCCTTAAAGTACAATATGTCATCATTTGTTCAGCAAAGGGTAGCAGGGTATCATGGATGGTTATTATGATGCAGGCTAATTTCTAGCAACTTTTTTGGATTAGTAAACAATAAGTTTTATATCAATGAACAGCACAGTCTAATTTCAAGCAACTAATGGACAAAGTATTACTCTGCTTTCACTGAAATCACACTGCACGTCAGTTGAACGGCACTTCTAAATCACGCCAAAATTGCAAGTAGTGCTCAAAATTTTCTAATCCATGATAGAATATAGTGTGTTTCTTACCATTTCGTCTGATTGTGAGCAACAATATGAATGGCATCTTTACTCCATTGGAGGTCCTCCCACCCATCAACATTACCATCATAGTGGAATAGAATGACAGTAAAATTCTCTGAAAGAAACTGAATATAACAAAATTAGGCTACAGATAAAAATAAGGTAGTGAAGTCGGAAGTTACTAAAAACAGAAAGTTGTCCGTGAGAAACTTAAATTAGATGTTATACCTTTTGGACAAGAGCGTCAACGTTGCTCTTCTGATTAATGCCAACTGGAACTGCCAACAAGTTATGGCAGCTAGAATTGCTAGCCTGAAAATGGAGACACAACATTGCCACAAATTAGATGCACGCAGCCTGGAGGAAAGAGTGATAGACAACCCAGCGAGAGGAAGAGATGGTCTAATATCTTGGATAAGCATGGTAACAAATAACATATCAGTATCAAAAGAAGGTTGCTCTATATTTTAGAGTTAAAGGGTAGAGTAAGACCTTTGCCTTTGACTTCGAACTACTTGTTGACCACAGAGGCTTTAACTCAAGATCTGATCTTGCTTGGATAATACCACGAGGCAAACTGTTCAAACTTCTCATATCCAAACTAGGGTCCTGGTTGAAAGAATAAACGGCATCCAAGTGACATGAGAATTTTGTATGGGCAAGCTAGTTCACACAAAAGCCAGAAAGTTCTATTTTAGGTGCTGAACCTAAGCACATCATGCTGCGGCCACTCTATCGCTTACAGTGCTCCGTTGCTTATTTATGTTTCGCATCGGTCAATTTAGATAGCAAGAAATGCCATTGATGAATTAAAAATTTTGGCTTCAAAAAGCCAATCCTATTGCCTCTACCTTGTGCTGTAAGGTATAGAAAGCTAGAAAATTTTGAAGGACGAAACAAAAACATAACTACCTGCGAAGAATAAAATGGATCCAATCTCGACTCTATCTGAAAAGGTAAACAGGGAAGAGAAAATGCTCATCATCAAAACTTTATCAAGGTTCAGGTAAACCAGAATTAGAAGGTCAAAATAGAAACTTAAATGCCAAAAATGTATCAGCCAGCTTCTCCGTATTACATAAAAGGAAACATATCTCTTATTCTTTCACATTCAACAGTTTAAACATCAAAAGCAGAAGTAGCAAATGTTAGCAAATCAATACAAGTACAAGCACTCATACCTCTGTCTGTTGATACTGATAATTAGTGGTCCTATATACAATAAACAACATAACTATACAGATGATCCACATAAGCGGTTGCTGTCTCATCTTTACTCCACATGCTCCCTGCGATTTTTTTACAAGTTACATATAATAAACATATGCATTATTTGCCCAGATAATCAGGTCATTAGTAATTCCTAACCACAATGCATTAACATACCCCATCAAGGAACACACTCCTCTTCTTCATCAGAAGCACCGCCATAACTTAAATGCCTGTTGAGGGCGAATACAAAATCGAAAAAGCTCTCATTGTAAGCTGCACCAAAAACACACTTATGAACGACTAATGCTAATAAAGAATCTACTCAAAATATATATAAAGACATTGACAATTATCTCCTTTCTTCAATCCATAAGCTGATAAACATTGTTTCTAGTATAGGATCTCCAAAGGAATTCCCAATCTAGCAAACAACGTACATAAGGAAAAGAATGTTGTGTTAGCTGTTAGTTTGACCACAACTGGAATACTAGATGATTTCTTAGCGGAGTGTCTAGCGGAAACAACCTATGTTTCCTCTCTGCCCTTCCAGGATAAGGGGAAGGCTGCGTATATCCTACCAACTCTAGACCCCACTTGTGGGATTACACTCGGTTGTTGTTGTTGGAATACTAGATGATATTAATATCTGCATAAGATGGCCTAGTAGCTCTCTTCACTCAGCCTATATAAACCTGTTATCAAAGCACATAAAATCTCTAAACAATCTTTTATGGTACCTTTTATGGATAGAAACCAAAAAGGCTCTACCCACCAACATTCTAAAACCTGAACAGGTCATAAGATGACGAGTTACCCACACGAGTACATAATCAAGACTCAGGACGCGATATATGCGGTGAAATGACCGGTCATTTTGCATTCTAGGGTCCCTACTGGTTGCTTGCCGTGGCCTAGCGGTGGTGAAAACTATGTGAGACCAGGAATTAGGTGAATGAAGTAGGTCAAAACTATGAGAGAACCAGCAAAGATAAAAAGGCTAGGTAACCTCTTTCCATCTGTCTATGTGTTGGTGGATAAATTTACCGGGTGGAAGATAACATGTGGAATAATCGAGGTGTCCAAATTGGCACATTTTCCCTGGGGGAAGGCTCCCCCAACCCCCGTGAGTCCCGTCTTGCCCTGCCTTGAACTGGAACTCGGAAACTACACTACCGTTATCAACGAAAACAAAGTAGTTGCAAGTTCAGACAGTAGCCAACTATTACCATCATTCACTCCCTCCATCCAACCCCACCCACAAACCGACTGAAAAAAGAAAAAGAAAATCTTTTTTAGAAGAGGTTGTGTTGTCAATTGGTAAGATGTCTAGTTTGCATATAATACAGAATATGACAATAAAGTGACACGCAGGAGTTTTGCAAAGTTGACAAACTCCAGTAGCAGTTGCCACCTCATGTATGCCAGAATTTCTCTTAACAACAATTGTAGTTCACATCAAGACTCCCCTAAAAAGGTCCAACCGACAACTTAAGTTTTAAACTAACAAATAGGAATTGTTCTACATTTATCTATGATTGAACCAGAAAAAAAAAAAAAACATCAGTCTTTCTACAAAAAGATTATTATAATTGAGAGTATCGTAATTCCAAATAAAATAGAAGAAAGGATGGTGAAATTCCTAAGACTACTTTTTTTCTACGTTTTACAAAAAAGATCACGACCCCAAAACGAATTCAAACTATTAATGAAAGAAATTGATGTTTTTAACAGGATCCAAAAAACTAAAAGGAATTCAGAAAAATAGGGGAGAAAATTAAATGAACAGGAAAACGTTACTGAAAGAAATTTGTTTTCAAGATTACTACACTGAAACATTAAATGCATACTTAAATAACAACTAATTAAGCACACAGACTAGCATTAATACAACTAAAGTGCTAATAAATCTGATCAGCTCACGCAACCTAATAAATTCTAAAAGACTTAAATCTGTTTTCATGAACCAAACTCCACCATGGGCTTAATTGTCATTGCACAACAACATCCATGGCAGCACAAAAAAAACCAAGAAAAAGATTGAAAACATACCTCAGGCTCAGAAACTGAAAACCCAACAAGGGTTTGAACCAAAAAACAAAAGCTGCTAACAGCTTCAGATACTTGAACAGTGAAAAAAGGAGTAAACTTTAAAGAACCAAGTTAAGTATTTGTCACAAAACAGAATATTAGGAACAAAAGCTATATGTATATGTATGTATAGGTAATCAGTAGATATGGAGAGAAGTGAACACAAGGGTGGCAGTGGGTATGGGTGGTTTTAGGGTGGAGGGGT